CCGAATACCTCAAGCATGTGACGGAAATGTTACGTCTTAACTTTTATAAAGAATATCTCTTTGGATTTGAGACTTTAGTCTTTGCAACTTTACAGATCTTCTTTATGCACCAAGAGCTTGTAACACTCCAAAGAGAAAGGAAAAATTGAAATCGCATCATATGACCCCTTTAACTTTAAGCATTATGTATGAGACTCTCTCTCTCTCTTCATAAAGAGCTTGTTAAAGTGGAGGAGATGTTTCTTCTCACAATGTTCTTAGTGTCATCCCTGCTTTGCCTTTTAATATTTTAGCTTAATTTGTTTGGTGGGCTTGAAATAGTTGATATACAGATGGGATTCAGTTTTATATGTGGCACTTAAATTTAATTGATAAAGTTAATACATTGCACTCTGTTATCACTCCAGGAATGATGGCCCACCCTGTGTTTTAGCTGGCTGGTCTTGGCTCTATTGACCCAGTGCCACTTTTATTTCCTGCCATTAGTGAAGGCTTGACTGAGCGTCAGTGGAGCCGCTGCAGAGACAGAGTGTGATATATTAGCTTGTGCCCAGCTAAGTCAGTGGCCAAATTAGAAGCCTGACTGCAGGTTAAGTGAAATTTATGTTCCCTTGTGTAGCTGCGACCAAATTTGGAAGCAGCAGAGCTGGAGTGTAAAAGGAATGGGGCTGAGTTCAGCAGTCCTGATAGTGTAGCATTTGGGATTTCACAATGAATCCTGTTTAATTTGTCATGGGGTGTGTATGTGTAATCCCAACAGCTCCCATTATCACAATGCCATTGTTGCAACAGCAGCAGAAAGCAAATAACACCAGAATAAAAATACACAAAATAGGAAATATTTCTCTTGAAGTGTGTATTTTAAGATGTCTTGATGTCTTGTTATTTTGATTGATTGATTGTTTGTTTGCTTGCTTATTATTTTCATTCATTCATTCATTCATTCATTCATTCGTTCAATTAATTTTAAGATGCACAATAAGGAATTTATATATTTTTACATACAGTATATACTACCATTCAAAACTTTTGGAGTCAGTAAGATTTTGTTATTTTGTTTTGTTTTGTTTTGTTTTGTTTTGTTTTGGGGAAAAAAATAGGGTGAAAATCAATCTTGAGTTCCACAAAATATATTGAGCTGCACAACATTTTCAATATTGATAATAATAATAATAATAATAATAATAATAATAATAATAATAATAATATCACTGTGGCTGCAACTGATTTTGTTTACAGGATTCTAGCATAAAGACTCATTAGCTTGTCTTCTGATTGGAGAGGTTCTAGGCCGAGTGTGAGCTCTGACCATTCAGCTAATTACTGACTGCTCGCCTGAGTGCTCTGTTTACTGACAGAAACGGACAGTTCACTCCTGCCAACGACCCGGCTGTGCAATCAACCCACGCTCTCCTTTAATTATGAATTAATTTCAGCATCGCTGTTTGTATTACCGGCCACAGTTTGCACAATTCTTGGCCTCAAACAGTCAAGTAACCCAGGGAATGAGTTTTACCCCTTCATGTGATGGTGTGATTGAAGAGTCTAATGTCTTTTGAGCCATTTTTTGTCTGAATTTCCAATGACTGGGCTGCCAAGACAATACTGTGGCCCTTATAATACATTTTTATCAGATTATAACTTTACCGGCCACAATTTGCACAATTCTTGGCCTCAAACAGTCAAGTAACCCAGGGAATGAGTTTTACCCCTTCATGTGATGGTGTGATTGAAGAGTCTAATGTCTTTTGAGCCATTTTTTGTCTGAATTTCCAATGACTGGGCTGCCAAGACAATACTGCGGCCCTTGTAATACATTTTTATCAGATTATAACTTCATAATCAATGTCTGGGATCTTATTTGTGCTCTCTAATGTGTTTAAAGTGTTTCATCTGTGTTGTGTTAGCTACTCGCAGTTTTAGAAAATGCCTAAAATCAATATCAGTAGGCCAGCTGTGATTTGACTCAAAATGCAACATACAATATTAAGATTAAATGAAGGGAATGTTTCTTTTATACAAACTGCACTTTTCTTCACAAATCTGAGCCCAGAGGAAAATTTAGTTGCTTTATGAATTGGGTTCACATGTAAGTAACTTTATCTCAGTTGTTTCTCCTAAATGTCTTTAGGAATTAAAAAGTGAAAGAGAGAGTCTGAGCAGTACTACCATTCAAAACAGTAAAAAAAAAAATATATATATATATATATATATATATATTTATTTATTTAAATTATTAATAATTCATGGATATTGGTGATATTTATGATATTAGTATTTATTGATTTATGAAACTATTAGTAATTCATAAATAATAGTGATATTTATGATATTAGTATTTATTTGTTTGTTTATTTAAGGGATGCACAATATGCCATTTTATATATTTGTACATATACACTACCATTCAAAATGTGGGGGTCAGTAAGAAATTGTATTCGTTCATTCGTTCATTCATTCATTCATTCATTCATTTATGAAATTATTAGTAATTCATACATATTAGTTATGATATTAGTATTTATTTGTTTGTTTGTTTAAGTGATGCACAATATGCCATTGTATATATATTTACATGTACACTACCATTCAAAACTTTGGGGTCAGAAAAAAAAATGCACATTTAATATGTATTTATTTATTTATTTATTAGTAATTCTTAAATATTAGTGATGTTTATAGCGATATTTATGATATTAGTAGTTATAGAGCTAGGATGAATTAAATTGATCAAAAGTGACAGTAAAGACTTTTGTATTGTTAAAAAGGTTGAATTTCTAATAAATGTTGTTATTTTCAACGTTTTAATCATTAAAGAAATTCAGGGGGCGGGGGGATATCTATCACAATTTCCACAAAAACACTAAGCAGCACAGCAGTTTTCAGTATTGATAATATGTTTCTTGAGCATCAAGTAATGATGCTGAAAAATTCATATTGAATTCAGTATATTCAATGGAATTAAACTGGAATTGACTGGATCATGAAAAGTGGATGTTTCATACCAGAATGAATCCAGACCTGAATGCAAGTTTGCTATAACAGTGCCTAAAAACCCATTTGGCTACTAGTTAACATAATCCAATCATTTCTGCACTGATAATTCATGCACAGTTATGTTTATTAAGCAAGTAAATAGGTTGAATGGCTCAAGGTGTAAGTTTTTGTTTGCTTCAGTTTGTGCTCGAGTCATTAAACTGAGTTTGAGTGGATCACAATCTGACACTTATTGGATAGTGACAATAAAACACTCAGGAGAACCAGGGCTTTCAGCGCTTTGAGTGTTCTGTCAATGTTTTGCCTTATCACAAAACCAATGAGCCTTGAGACACCATGCATTGAGCAGACTACGTGTTGTGTGCAGAGCTCAGACAGCAGGTCTCCCATGGGTTCACATTACGCCTTCCTGAAACATTAACCGCTCTTGTTCTCGCCATGCTTTGGGAATGACAGTATTGTTATTTAGGGCTTTCTTAATTATTATCCGGTGCATCTAGAGGGCGTGCAGTGCAGTCAGACATCCTCCACAACATGTGCCAGTTTGTTTTCACGTCTGATCACTCGTTCAGTTCCCAAAGAGAGGTAACTGTAAGAGCAAAGTCTCAAAAAAGTCTTGAAAGTGCAGATGGCATTTAGGTGGGTGAATCTTATGATTATGAATCTTATCACCCTCAACTCAACAGAAGTATAGATAATTGTATTTGTGCATGAAGAAAATTAAGCCTAGTTTGTAGGATAATTAAGAATTTTGGAATCTTGACTTTGTTTTCATGAAAATTAAGCACATTTCTGCCCAAGCATCATGACCGTAATGCAAAATGAATGAATGAATAAATAAATATTAATTGTAATGAGAAAAAAGTACAACAATATATTGTTAAAAGTATAAAGCATGCATATATCAGGGTAATATTTGACCTTACATTTATGATAATTTAACCCTCTTGTTCTGTTGAGTTTGCCTTTATTGTCTTTATGTATGGAGTCACAATAAACATTACTTATCAAAATAACAGCTGTAATCTGTAACTTGACCTGCTATTGTACATTTTAATTCCTTAAATATGTACCTTATATGATATATATAAAACGTGGGGTCAGTTTAACCCCAGTTAAAACACATAATAATAATAATAATAATAATAATAATAATAATAATAATAATAATATAATAAAAGTATTATTATTAGTGTGTAGGATATCAGACCGAATCAGACGATCTATGATTTGGTTAAAACATGGTTGAAACCTGAGGAGCCCAAAATTCCACAAGAGGCCCAAGACAACAGGATGTCATAAATCAGACCCTAGCCAGTTTGAAACAAGCCTAACCAACTCTTTCACAGAACAGCTTTCAACATTAACACAAAAAGAACACTTATTGACAATTCCAAGGAGATTGTCAATTTTAGGGCAAGTAATTAAGATTAATGGTCAAAAGAGATGCACGGCGTGACCATCACATGGTAACCAGTGATAGCAATCACAAGCTCGTAGTAGTAGTAGTATTGTTGTTGTTGTTATAAATAAACTAATATTATTATAATTAATAAATAAACAGACAAACAACAACTAATAATAATAATAATAATAATAATAACTATTATTATTATTGGTAGTAGTAGTATTTTGGGGTTTGTTTCAATTAGTTTGTTTAATAATAAGTGTATCCTGTATCCTGTTCCAGTTTAATGTGCAGAAACAATTATAAGTAAGACATTTGTAGGTTGACTTCCTGAAGAGTATGTATTTACCTAACAACCACAAGGAGCACCCTAGCAACAACCCTAGCATCACTGCACAGGCAAAAAACACTCACATTTTCCTCAAAAAAATGTAATGAATTTACTTACTTTTGCAAATCAGGTACATAAAAGGTTTCTAGCCTAAGGGTTTGTTGGAAGATTACGTGCTTAATGAGCCCTTGTTATTGAATATATTGTAATATATTGATTCATATCAGCAGTTACACACCAACATTTCTTTGTCTCTCATTTCAGCTACATTCTAATTCAGATAAAGGCGATGGTTCGGTCAGGTACATCCTTAGCGGTGAAGGAGCAGGAAGTATCTTCATCATCAACGAGGTAACGGGAGACATCCACGCCACCAAAAGTCTGGACCGGGAAAAGAAATCACATTATGTTCTTCACGCGCAGGCCATCAACCTCAACACCAACAAGCCCCTGGAGCCAGAGTCAGAGTTCATTATAAAAGTTCAGGATATTAACGACAATGCCCCCAAATTCCCCGACGGACCCTTCGTCACAACTGTGCCTGAGATGGTGGAAGTTGGTGAGATTTCCTTGTTTTCTTAATATCTTTTTTGTCCAGCACACAAATTGAACATTTTGCTTTTTTTTTTTTTTTTTGTAAAATGCTATTTTCTTTCAAATGTATTATGTAAGTCTGTGGTCTTTTTATAAACATTCTTTGTCATCTTTTGATGAAATTGATAATATATTACTCTTAATGTGTATTTATGCAATTCCTTTCATTTTTAAAGTTAAAAGGTCTAAAAATATTTAAAACAGGATAAAAGTCCTATGACGCCTTTTTAATAGAAAGCATCTTAAATTGCAAGTGCATTTTGTCTTACTGCTCTGTCAAATTTATTTTTTTCTTTTTTCTTAAGTATGACCAAGTTAAAGTCAAGTTGAAAAAAATCCACCAGCTCAGTAAGACAAAATACACTTATATTCTAGATATATTCCATGAGAACAAGTCAGAGTATCTTAGTGTTCCTTCTAAAGTGAATCCATTTTTAGATATTTTTACTGGAAACTTTACTGGATTTTACTTGGAAAAAACGTCATGAAAAACTCATTAATGCATTTTTCCCCAATCTATTTTAAGTATAAACTAGTTAAAATCAAGTGGAAAAAAAATCCACCAGTGCAGTAAGACAAAATACAACTATATTCAAGAAACTCTTCATGAAAACAAGTCAGGGTATCTTAGTCTTTCTTCTAAAGTAAGTTCATCAAAAGGATTTTTTGGATATTTTTACTGGAAATTAAATATAAATAAATAAAAAATTAAAATAAAATAAATAACATTTAAAGGGGTCATATGATGCGATTTCAATTTTTCCTTTCTCTTTGGAGTGTTACAAGCTCTTGGTGCATAAAGAAGATCGTTTTGTGTTTTGCGGCTAGAGTTCCCTCAGGAGCCCGACAGCCCTTAGAGAGCACTATGTGCTCATGCTTTCTCCAGAACGCTCCACTTCCACTAGGAGAAACAGTGAAAATATATACAGAGAGAAAGAGAGAGAGAGAGATTCCCTTACAGCAGGGTTTCCCCAAATACTAATGTGGAATGAGTTCATACATTAACTTATAGCTCAATTAAATTTGTTAAACGTTGCAAAATTCTACACATTTAACTTTTAACTTAATTTTGCATTTAACGCTTGATTGCATCGTGTTGCCTCTGTGTAAAAATCCAGTTTCCTACTGCACCTTTAATTATATTTATATATTTATATTTATTTAAATGTATTTTTTATTTATTATATTTTTTTCTATTTATCTATTTTTTATACCTTATGCATACCTATATATGTATATATATATATTTTTTTTTTTTCATTAATTTCATTTTTCCCATTGTTGTACAGTGTTGGCACCATTACACGCAAACAAATGTGGGAATGCTGTTTTATTTTTATTTAAGCTATCACATACATTCCTGTTATTTATTAATATAACAATTCATATTTAATTGGTGCAGATTTGTGTCAAGTTTAGTGTAGTGAATGCATTAAGTGTTACGTTTAGTTTATTCATCAGAACAGTTTGATGAATATAATGCAACGTACTTATTAATTCCATAGTTGAAATTATGATGTGCTGTATTCAAGTGATTTTGGAAATGGATGCATTAAAGGCACAATATGTAATTGTTTGCCACTAGAGGGCGTGTATTCAAAACAAACAAAGAAACAAAGGCGTAGTTAGATGACGCCGTGACTGAGTGTGGAATCATGGGAGTTGTCGTCTTCATCCCCACAAACAAAACCGACAGGCGACACAATGACACTTTAGACATGGTCCGTGTCACTAGTTAAAATTGCTTATTTCTCTGGATTGAAACATTCTTCGAAACATTTGGGATAATGTAAGTACACAAGTCAGCAAAATACATAACACTGTTCTAGTGTTTTTTGGATATTTTAATAAAAAAAACTTACATATTGTGCATTTAAGTAATTTCATATTTATTTTCATATACTGACCGAGGAGGAGGATTATTATTATTATTATTATTATTATTATTTTAGCACTAATGCAACATAGTTAAAAGCTGAAGATGCACGTTACTTTTGTAAATTTGTTTTTCCATGTATTTTATCCTCCTACAAAAGTAGTTTTATGGCACAAGGCATCTTGTGTTCAGATCAAAAGAGGTTATGAACCACTGCTTTAGAGGAACGTTTCTCCTGTAAACTGACTTCCAGCCCACACACAGTATGTCACTGTTGATTTCCAGAAAATGCCTATTATATTATTGATATATCAGAAGCGAAAGATTTTGTGTCATATGTACAGTTTTTGGATCTCTCTGGGAGTCTCGAAGGCTATATTCCTGGCTCGCATGTACAAATAAAATATTTCTCTTTATTTTGGCAGCGTGAAACACTTCTCGGTGGAGATTATGGTCTGTGGGTTTAGAAAGCTTTGTTTATTGTTTATTTAGGTCCCAACTGGCTGTTGCCGTAGCAACTGAAGCCCATACAATGATCTGTGGTATCGTAAGAGTTGAGTACCAGCTGCAATCAGTGTTGAAGGAGTCTATTACTGCCTGGCTGTTGTCCATTACTGTTGGCGATTCATGTGCAGAGTGGGTTCAAAATCCCAATTACAGATGTCTTGGAGAACACGCTGCTGGACTTTACACTTCACCATCACAGTTTTCTCTCGAGGTGATGCTCTGCCTTTATAGGATGTCAGTGGCATCTGATAGATTTGTTCCTCTTGTAAATACAACATTTGAGAACCAGATGAATCCTTTCTACTTTATTTGAGTTAAGACGGTGACTGTAAATTCAATGTACGGCTCCATATGACTCCCATTTGCCAGACTGACATTGTCTCATTATTTTGAATTTTGATACAGATTACATATTTGTGTAATTGTTCTTGTTTTAAGCAGAAATGTAACAAAAAAATATATACTGTATATTTCAATGTTTATGTTTTATAAAGTTTGGGATCATTATGATTTCGTTTAAACAGTTCAATTGTAGTAATTACATAAATTGTAATTTTAATACTATTTTTTAACATGATCAAAAATGATGTCAAAAGCACAGCAACGTTGTAAAATAGTATTACAATTGAAAATGTTATTTTATTTGTATCAATTGTATTATCCCAATTGAAATTTTTTTTTTTTTAAGGTATTATATACACATATGTATATGACCAAAAATACTATCAAAAACAGTAATATTACAAAATATTATTACTTTTTAAAATAAGTGTTTAAAATCATAATCCAAAACCACGTTTAAAATTCTAACCACTTTTAAAAGTATTTTACATTTAAATTGTATATATCTATATACATTTAGTTTAGGATCTGTACGATTTTATTTATTTTTTTAATAACGTCAAAATCGGTAATACTGTAAAATATTATTGCAATTTGAAATGTGTTTAAAATCATAATAATCCAATACCGCTTTAAAAATTATTTTACGTTGCATACCATTAGAAATAGTAATATTATAAAACATTATTGCAATTTAAAATAACTATTTAAAATATTAAAATATTTAACAATTAAACATAATTATCCCATTATTATTATTATTATTATTATTATATTACAATTTTCAATTGTAATGATATTTTACCATGCCACTGTGTTTTTGACAGTTTTATTGATAATGTTAAAATATATAAACTATAATATCTTGTTTTAGGTATTTTTAGACATTTTTACTGGAAAACTAGTCAAAAATGCTCATTAAGAAAATTATTTTTGTTTTGCGGTGCACACAGATTCAAGGGCACATGTACCACAGAAGGTGCACTGTTCACCGTTAATTAACTCATCTCCAGATATCCACTGTGGGATTTTATTTCAGTATTTTTGTTTTGGTAAACATATTTTGATTGTATCTAAGTAAACAAAACATTCGCACTGGGATTAGCACTCAATATGTTTCCACAAGGATATAAACTGTCAGTGCAACCTTTTTCATAATCATTCCATTTGGAAATGTAAGACTAACCAGATAAGCCAGAGTTGGTCCAGCAGCACAGCATCACCTCAGCTGGCAGTTTGAGCTGGAGAAACACATGCTCAGTCGATTAGTATTGATGGGATACATGGAGAAGAGATGCTTGGTAACAAGTATCGACAGAAAAAGAGGGACATGAATAATTAGTCTTGTTTCCTCTTATTCTGGGGTTGAGCATTTGTAGGCGTTTATCTGTAAGCATCTGTGAGCCGACTGAGTCCGTCTGGACGCTCACACTTCTGCCCCCACGCAGCACTAGTCCAGCACTGTCAATATTCCCTGTGTGTTCGAGAGCTCAGGGTCTAATTGTGTGTTGATGGTTTGTCTCTGCCAGTCTGAATTGATTGACTGGATACGAGCCAGACCTTCAGCTCTGAGAGACTGATAACAAGAGCTGTGAAAGAACCACTACTGCAAACATATACCACCTTCCACATCTATCTATCTATCTATCTATCTATCTATCTATCTATCGTTGTGGTGTGGTATCTATAATTGTGGTGTGTAGGCAAATTTAAAAAGGTTAAAAAGGTCCAGGTCAAATATCTAAAAATAACTTGAAACTGCGTGAAATATTAATACTTCTTTTCGGAAATTATATATTGAATATCACTGTATGTTAGTGAATAATTTCACCAATTCAGTAAGGCAAAATACACTTATATTGATGAAAAATATAAATAAGTAAGAGATCTATGAAAGTCAGTCATATTATCTTAGGATTTGTAAATGTGTCTTTTGAGTCAAGTAGAAACAAATATAAAAATTTGCACCAAAGCCAGCATAAGCCAGCCTGGAAATTCATGCTGGTGGTAAGCTGGTCTTTTTCAGCAGGGGTACCTAATAAAGTGGCTGCTGAGTGTGTACAGCCATGCTAAACAGCAGAAGATCAGTATTGACTTCTAAATATCACCCAGCTTCCCACTTAGCATTCACTGCTTGCCTTGCAGTTTACTGTAATTTTATTATTATAATTTTTTTATGGGTACGATTTTGATTAGGAGTTTGTAAAACTCAATATCTTTATTAGTGGTGCAGAAACATTACTCCCTCCACAGACACAGTTCATCTGCTGGTCCTGGGAGACCCTCATCAGAAAATTCTAGACAAGCTGTTTCAGCAACTTTCCAGCTGCTGCTAGCGTCTGATAGAAATGTTTTCACTGAAGCTGAGAGCTGGATAGGGTACAGAGAGGGGTGAGATAATTCATTTTAACCCACTGAAGCTTCAGGATTAGAACCTAAATTATACTTATCTGAAGCTGTAACAGTAATTGCGGCTATCTGGTCTTTATGCTGTTGAACTATGCAGAAAGCAGTGAATGTTGTCTCTCTCGTGTGTATTATGCTGAGTGATGACCATAATTGAAAAGCTTTTGAAAGTCTTTGTGGGAGAACACGGCTTTTCGACTTTGCTCTGGCTGGGTCTCACCACAAGAGAACACTGCAGAAAATAATTTTATTAATAATTTTTTTGTCTTGATTTCCAGTAGAAATACTTTTGTTCAGACAGTATATGCTGTAATAATGTTGTTTTTTTTCCCCACCACATTGGCAAATATTTATTTATTTTGATCTTAAACCTCACTAAATTGTTATATTTATGTGTAATACAATAAACAAAATCGTCAAGAAGATAAAAAAGAACAATGCATTAACTATATAAACACTGAATATTGTATGTATTTATTTATTATATTTTGTTTATTCTTATTCTTATGTTTTTTGTTTTTTATTTTATTAGTTTATTTTATTTTTAATGTCCTTCCCGACTGTTTCAGTAAGATACATAAATACAGAACAGAAAACTTCTATACCAGAATAAAAATACTTGAAAAGACAGAAATAATAATTTTCATTCTTTCTTCTTCAGTAAAGAGAGACAAGTTACCACTGCAATGAGACTGAGAAAGATAAAGAAGGAAATTCAAGATTTTGCCTCCATAATCCTATTTTACGCCTCAGCCCTCAAAACTGCATTAAATGTTTTGTGGTGTTTGCAGTAAGTTAGAGTGGTTCCATCAAACCTATAGTTTCATCACAATTTCACCAACCAGTTAGGCTCATTAACAATAACTCCTTCAAAAACAGCCAGAAACCTTGGAGTTGTGATTGATGATAAGCTGAATCTCTCAGACCACATTCCTAAAACTGCCCGGTCCTGCAGATTTGCTTTATACAACATTAGGAAGATCACGCCCTTTCTTTCAGAACATGCAACACAACTTTATCTATTTGTCTTCTTTTTTTATTAAAAAAACTAACTCTAGCTTTCTATGTTTCTATTCTATCTACTTGTTTTTTGTTTTGTGTATGTGTGTTTATATATATATATATATATATATATATATGCCACTGCAAGATTAATCTTTAATGAGCTGAAAAGAACGCACGTCACACCTCTGTATGTGCCCTCTAGAAGCTTGCGTTCTGCAAGTGAACGACGCATTATTGTGCCATCCCAGAGAGGCACAAAATCACTTTCACTGACTTTTTCATTAAACTGTTCCCTCCTGGTGGAATGACCTGCTAAACTCAATCCGAGCAGCTGAGTCCTTAGCCATCTTCAAGAAACGACTTAAAACACACCTTTTCCATCTTTATTTGACCCTCTAACTCTAGCACTTTCTATTCTATTTTAATTCAACTTTATCTATTTGTCTTCTTTTTTATTTAATCAGAATAAGAGTCCAAACATCTGATAAAAACATCACAGTGATCCACACGCCTTCAGTCCATTAATGAATGGCTTGTGTTTATAATAAACAAATCCATAAAAATTGTTTAACCTTAAACTATTGCTTCTGGTTAAAATATGAGTCTTCTATCCATAATATTGCTTTCCCCAGTGAATAAGTTGTTAACGTCTGAATCAGGAGAGAAATATACACAGACCAAGCACTGTTTACAAGCATGCACAAACATGCAGCTTTTTCGTCACAAGACATTTATTTATGTACTGGAATCATGTGGATTATTGTGTGATATTTTTCCAGCTGTTTGGACTCTCACTCTGACGTCACCCATTCACTGCAGAGGATCCATTCATGAAAAAGTGATGTAATGCTAAATTCCTCCAAATCTGTTCTGATGAAGAAACTCATCTAAATCTTGGATGAACTGAGTAGATTTTCATCAAATTTTAAAATCTGTGAGATATTCCTTTAGGTACGTTCAAACCACCCTTCAAACTCACAGCATCAATGTTTTATTCTTTCTCTTTCTGCAGGTACATCCATTTTTCAAGTGACAGCGACCGACGCAGATGACCCTACATATGGAAACAGTGCACGGGTGTTGTACAGCGTTCTGCTCGGACAGCCATACTTCTCCGTCGACCCCAAAACCGGTAAATTCATGACGACTTTTCATCTTGTGTCTGTGAAGGTGAATCAATAGTGCTTTTATTGCTTGCAGGTTTAAAACTGCTGCCGCATTTCGTCAAGTAGGTGTACAATTAAAAACTACACTGCCTAGCTTTTCATATGACTTGTTCATATTAGACTGTGAAGTTTGTTTCTCAGAAAACAGCTGTGAGCAATAAAATACACCACCGGCACCCTTCACTGTTCAGAAATAGAGCTTGACATGTGTGCTGTATTGTTTGGATCTCGGCTCTATAATGGAGATCATCCCTGGAGAATGAGGTGGAGAGTAAAGGCTTTCAGGGATAAAGACAGACGGCTGGAGAGAGAACACGATTTAGAGTGCTTTAAGATGAATTTGGTGTTCATTAGAGGTGGACATTGTTTGAGGGTTTTTACAAGGAACCATTAAATATTAATGGAGACACAGTTTGTTTTGTGTCAAGAAGCAAAAGTTAAGATAGTGAGAAGAACAAATGAAAGACAAAGGAAGGATGGAAGGGGGAAGGAAAGAAGGATGTAAAGATTCATATAGGAAGGACAGATAAATACAGACAGAAAGAAAGAAGGGAGAAAGGAAGGGAAAAAAGGAAAAACTAAAATAAGGAATGGAACATAAAAGAAAATAGGAAGGCAGAAAATAAGGAATAAAAGATAAAAAGACAAAAGGAAGGGGAAAATAAGGAAGGAAGAAAAAGAAGGAAATAAAAATGAACATGGGAAGGAATGAAAATGAAAAAGAAGGAAAATGGAAAGACAGGAAGGAAGAAAGGAAGGGAGATGGGAAAGATATATAGTAGGGAAGGAATAGGGAAGAAAACAAAAAAGGAAGGAGAGTTTGGGAAAAGCAAAAAGGATTGGGAAGGAAAAAAGTGAAGAGGAAGCGGAATTCAATAAAACAGTGTGCTGTAGACAGAGCTGTTTTTGACAGGGTAAAAACAGTGTTGTTTTACACTACCACTGAGACATTTTAACCAAACTATGTTACAGACTTTTCATTAAGACCCTAAAGAATCATATCAACTTGTGGAAAATGGGCATTCGATAACCCCTTTAAGTTGGTTTGCAATCACATTAACCTTGAAGCAAGAAACATTACCACACAGCCTCTGACATTATGCATGTCAAATCTCCAAGTAGTTTCAACTAACATGCTGTTGATTTTCTTTTATTTGTCATAGAGGTAAAATCTGCCGCTGTCCATGGTGCTGAAATGCTCCACTCCTTTATTGTATATTCTGATATTGTCCATGGTGCTGAAACACCCCACGCTTCACTACTTTACCTGTTTCTCACACACACAAGCATCTGAAATGCATAGTCATGACCACAATATAATGACTATTTTGAGAAATACTGCTAGAAAAGCAAAGAAGTTGTTGATGATAATCACTAGACACCTCACAGCCTTCACACAGGTTCTCACAAATCAGTACTGGCAGACTAGTGCTTTGATAATGCAGTCCATCCAGATTTGGAAACGTTTGGCCTTTACTTAAGACTAATGCAGCATTTTGTAGGGGAACTGTGAAGAATTTTGTTTTGCACAGTTGTCAAGAGCATGCAGGCATATCAATGACTTTGGTGAGAGTTTTTGGAGATGAAAAGCTTAATGGAATTGTGGCGAGAGACAGTATCAGGTTTGCCAGACTGAGTTTATTTTAGATGGTGTACAAGGACTTAATGCATTCAGACAGGAGACATGAGAACCGATAGAGGGGATTGTATGAGAAAGAGAAAAAGACAAAAACGATTGACTTAGCCTTGCTTTAGTGTATTGTCTGTTAGTGATACTTCACTTTCAATCTCTCACAAACTATCTTTCAGGACATTTAATACTGTAGTGTACACAAATATTCCATTTGGAGATGTATAAAATGAATATACTGAAATGTGCCAGCACATATCTTGAGTACCTCGAAAGCGACATGGAGTTAGTGCTAGAGTTAGAGGGACAATAAAAATTTTACCATTTTCTCTTTCTCAAGGCACATTTATTTTGCCGCATTGTGCATGATTCATCAGTTTACTCTAAAGAAATGTCTTCATAATCTATCTATCTATCTATCTATCTATCTATCTATCTATCTATCTATCTATCTATCTATCTATCTATCTATCTATCTATCTATCTATCTATCTATCTATCTATCTATCTATCTATCTATCTATCTATCTATCTATCTATCTATCTATCTATCTATCTATCTATTTGTCTGTCTGTCTGTCTGTCTGTCTCTCTCCATCTCTCTCTCTCTCTCTCTCTCTATATATATATATATATATATACACGTTTATACATGTTTTAATTCATTACATTTACTTTTATATATTCAATACATACCATATATTCAATTTACAAACATTACAATGGGGAAGAGACTATAATAATAATAATAATAATAATAATAATAATAATATCAATAATAGTAATACAGTGTGTGTGTGTGTGTGTTTATTTATAATTTTTTTGCAGTGTATCAAAGTATTATTATTTAGATTTTTTTATTGCAAGTCTAGGAACTCCATTCTTTTGGCACTTTGCTCTCAGCGCAGGCAAAATCTCAGTGAACTCTTTAAAGTATTTCAAACCGGAGAAGCATTTGCTAATGACAGCTCTAATAGCTCTAACAGCTCAAAGTCACACTTTTGGTCAGATGGAAGAGTTACTGTTCCATTGTCTCTATAGGAGATGATGCCTGTCACTGAAATCTGATTTACAGTCTCTGACAGCTGTAAAAACTCAAAGTGTGCGAGGCACATTGATGAGAGAGTAGATGTATTAGATTGAGAAAGCATTTTGCTTCTGACGTGCATGTCAAGAGTTTGTTGTGGTGCTGCTCTGCTGAAGCCGTGACCCAGTGGTGTGGGTGTATATGCAAATTCTGCTATGTATTTAAAGAAGGTAATGCAAAGTTGTATGCATGATGCCCGGGGTCATGTTAGCAAGACTTTCTAGAGATTTTTCTTTCGTATAATCTGCATCTTGTTAATATATTCTGACAGACAGTGGAGGAGGGTTGCTTTTTTATATAGAATCTTATTGATGTTTTTTGATGTCAACAGCTGTATCAGGTGTGTTTGTGGGTTCTTTATGGATTTTTGTTTTTAGTTTTTTGTTTGTTTGTTTGTTTGTTTTTTATCATATCACAGACATAGTGATGAAAAGCTTTTATGATGTTAGTAAAACCCAACCCTTATGTTAGATTTTTTGTTTTTTAAGTGATTGCCAACTTTGACCTCTGTTTAGCTATATGTTCTCTCTGATCTCTACAGAATCTGATTGAATTAAACTGATGAACTGATGATATGATGAATCTAATGTCTGTCATATGACCCCACAAACTATATGGGTCACTTCTGATGCAGTACACTTTGAAAGCTGTAACTTAATATAATGGGAATATATATATGTATATATATATATTAAAAATTGGATAAACATTTTTAAAAACTATATATATACTGTATATTTATCATTTATATATTTATTTATTTATTTGTTTGTTTATTTATTTATTTTTCAGCTCACATGACAGCTTACATGAGGGTAGCAGCTTGAAGTTTAGTTAGATACCTTTCTTATAATAATATTATCAAACTGATTTCTGTATTTTTAATTATCAACATAAATCTTTCAGAATGACACAAACTTACTAATCATCAAATCACATTCATGTCTGTGCTTTCGTTTACCTCCAACATTAGGTAAATAAATAACTGTTTTTTGTTACTTTAAAAAAAAAAAGGTGCAGAGTTGAGACAATTGATTACAATTTAAAACAATATTTTTTTTTTAATTTGGTTAAAGAAAAAAATCTGTAACATTTACAATACATTATTTTTAAAATACATTAATACATTTTCAGCTTTGCAGTTTAGAGATGGGGACATTGCAAGAAATTACAACAATTACTCAACTTTTTATACTTATACAATACAAACTTATGGGATCAGGAGGCTTTTGAAAGATGTTTCTTGTGCTCACTAAGGTTGAATTTATTTAATCAAAAATACAGAAAACCTGTAATATTGTGAAATGATTAAAATTGTAAATAACTGTTTTCTATTTGAATATATTTAAAAATGTTTTTTTGTTGTTTTTTTAGCATCATTATTACTCCGGTCTTCAGTGTCACATGATCCTTCAAAAATTATTCTAATATGCTGATTTGGTCCACAAGAAAAAATTCTCATTATTATCAATAATTTCTCAAATCGTCTCATTAAATCAACCGTTGAAACTCTTTTTTTTTCTCAAGATTTTTTGATAAATAAGTCCAAAAGAACAGCATTTATTTAAAATAGAAATCTTTTGTAACAAATTTCTTTACTGTAACTTTTGATCAATTGAATTCATTCTTGCTGCACAAAAAGCGTTAATTAAAAAAAAAAAATACAACCCCAATTCCAGAGAAGTAAAAAAATCTAAAATCAAGAATTTTAACTTTTATTTAATTGACAAAAGTACAAAGAAAAGATTTCCAAAGTTTTTACTGACCAATGTAAATGTATTTTGTAAATATGAACAAATGTTGATTTTGACGACTGCAACACACTCCAAAAAAAGTTGGGACAGAGGCATGTTTAACACTGTGTCACATCAACCTTCCTTTTAATTACAATGTTTCATTGTTTGAGAATTGAGGATACTAATTGTTAAAGTTCTGCAAGCAACATTTTTGTCTCGCTTGATACAAGACTTCAGATGCTCAGCAGTCTGTGATTGTTGTCTGATTCTCCTTTTTATGATAAGCCATTTATTTTCAATAGGAGACAGATCTGCTGGCCAGTCTAGCACATTCACTTTGTCTTTACGAAACCACACTGCTGTAGTACATGCAGAATGAGAGCTGGCATTGTCTTGATCTAATAACCATGGACGTCCCATGAAAGACATAATCTTGATGGCAGTATATATCTCTGTACAATCCCAATGTATGCCTCCATGTCAATAGTACCTTTGCACATATGCCAGTCACCCATGCTGTTTGCTCTGCTGCACCCCCATACCATGACAGACGCTTGCTTTTGCTTCTGTCGCTAATGAAAGTCTGGATGGCCCTTTTGGTGTTTGGGACTGAGAACTTGAAATCCATTTTTTTCCCAGAAACAAGTTGAAATGTGGACTCATCTGAGCACAGCACACATTTCCACTGTCTTTTTGACTATCTGAGATGAGCTCTGGCCCAGAGAACCCGGCGGCATCGCTGCATAGAATTGATGTATAGCTTTCTCCGAGTTTCAAGTTGCATTTCTTGATGGAGCAGCAGACTGTGTTGAGTGACAGCAGTTTTCTGAAGTACTTCTGAGCCCATGAGGCTGTATTTAACACTGCAGCATGATGGTTTCTTATGCAATGCCATCTGAGGGCTCAATGGTCAAGCACATTCAACTGAGGTGTACTGCCTTGCCCTACATGTACTGTGATTTCTCTGGATTCCCTGAATCTTTTCACAATATTATGTATTCTTTGCAATTTTACATTGCGAAATGTGATTTGATTTGTTTGACACTTCTCTCATGAAATTTGGCACAAAGTGAGGATTTTATACCCAAACATGATATCCTCACCTATTTCTATTTCACCTGCTTACTCTGAACTGTTTCAAAACAGTTTAACGTGGATATTCTATAACCTTTTCACTTTTATTTTGCCTTTGTCCCAACTTTTTTGGAATGTGTTGCAGCTGTCAAAAACAAAATGTGTTTATATTTACAAAATACATTTACGTTGGTCAGTGAAAACTTTGGAGATCTTTTCTTTGTACTTTTGTCAATTAAATACAAGTTAAAGAGAATTAACAAATCACAGATTCTTGATTGTATTGCATTTTACAAAACGTCCCAACTTCTCTGGAATTGGGGTTGTATATGTTATATTATATAATATAATATTTTATATATTATTTGTTTTTAATAACTATACAATTTATCATTTTATCTTATATTTTTTCTGTCTGTTCTATCCAAAATATGAATGCACAGTTATAGTTGCAAGAAAGTTTTAGCAAAACTGTGAAATGGACAATTGTGGAATGATTCACATGTTAGGAGTCCTGATTATTGGTTTCCATGTACAGTTTACAAGATTTTTGATGTCCAATCAGAAAACTCACAATCAGGAAGTCAAACACTGCTCATTTCCAACACACCTAATGTGAACTCAGAGCTGCAGGCAAA